AAAGAAAGAAATAGATATAAAAAGAAATCAGCAATAGATTTGCATTTAAAGAATGCAACTATAAATTTATGATACACTCACTATAATTACTGTGTGAAAACTGTATCTTATCATACATTTGAGTATAAAGAAAGCAAACACAATTGTTATATCAATTTTGTTTTTAAGAAAAGGTGCTGGTAGTCACCAAGAGCACTGGAAAAATCATTCCTAAGACAGAGGTGCTGGTATTGTGTACCATTGCATATCACCCACACACACAAAAAAGAAGTTCTGATTATATCAAAGAAAAAAATGTAAAAAAGGACTAATGACATATTGTACTGAACCTGTTCTGCTGTATGACAGCAAATCTTGGAATATCAATGAACAACTGATGAAGAGCTTTAAAGCAGCAAATATATTTGTTGTCAGTTGTGAATTGCCTGAAAAAAGCTCATAATACTGAACTATAGTAGAAGACAGAGACAGTGTTATCTGCTCAAGTGATGAAAGGCATTGGAAAACAATGTGACAACTGGAAGGCTCATTGGTAGATGAGGCAGAGGAAAGAGATCATGCTGGATGGCTGAAGACAGTGGCATGGAGAAATGTCAATATAATTATTCCCAAAACCAAGGAAAGAGATTTGTTTAAAGACATGAAAGCTGACATCATCTGACACAAAACAATAGATCTTGATTCCTTTACAAATTATTTGTAAACACTATTTAATCTCTGTTTTGTAATTTTATATTAATGATCTTGACTCTGATTCCTTTCAGTTGATAGAAAAACCAGGAGTATCAAACACAAGGGGAAGTAAGTACCATATTTCACATTTAATTTAAATACGAGGCGTGTTTTTTTACTGAGTCCCATTTTGACCGCAGCGACATACACTGACAGAAAACGTAAATCTGCATATGCAGTATGTCTGTGTGGTTTTTTAGCTAGCTGTGTGCTATTTTTCTACTGCCGAAATCTTGATTGATGCTGGGTGTGAGTGATTTATAATAAGTACAAAAAAAGGTTGTTGCGTATCCTCTAGAGGACGTTGCAGAACCAACCCTAACAGCCCCTGGCTGTTGTGTGGTTTCTCTAGGCAAATTTACGTCCAGTAGTTTGCCATTGCTTTCTGGACGGTCGGCTTTCTTGATACCACTGTCGAAACCAACGCAAGGCGCATTGCCCGCAGCTGGGATCAAACCTGGCATCCCGGCATTACGAAGCGAAGTGTTCGCATCGACTTAGCCACAGAGCCGACTTATAATAAGTACAAAAATGGATTATCCCACTAGCTGCGAGGTTCGTGCTGTGATCCATTTTTTTAAACAGACAACAACACTGCTGCAGAAATTCACAGGCAGCTCATGGAGGTTTATGGGCTAGATGTTATGACTGGTAGTATAGTTAGGAAATGGTGTCAAATGTTTAGCGAAGGGCGAACAAACATCCATGATAAAGATCATAGCGGTCGGCTGAGTGTGGTGACAGATGATTTGGTCAAAGAAGTGAACCAAACAAATTCAGGAGAATTGTCATTTCACAATTCTGCACTGTCTGTCAAATTTTCGGAAGTTTCCCATTCACTGGTTTATGACATTGGGACAAGAAACCTTGGTTACAAACAATTGTATGCCATCCAAAACAAAAGATGTGGGTTGTTGTTCTCTGGAATTGTGCTTCTGCACGAAAATGCTCGACCTCACATCATTGAACTGTTCAGTTGCAAAATTTTCATTGGGAAATTGTTGACTGCCCACCCTTCAGCTCTAGTCTGGCGCCAAGTGATTGCCACCTTTTCATGCACCTAAAGAAGTGGCTGGCCTCCCAGCGGTTTGAAACTAATGGTGAACTACAGACAGGCGTTAATGAATGGTTGAAGACACTGGCGGCAGACTTGGATGGCACTGGAATTATGAACCTGGTGCCATGATACCAAAATGGTGTTGAAGTCAGTGGTAACTATGTTGAGAAGTAATGTAAATGTGTGGTTCACTTTTGGCTGCAATAAATCATTTTGAAATATGATGCTTTTTAAAAAAAAAATGTTATACAGGGACTTATTTAAAAAAAAAAACTGCCTCGTATTATAAATAGACCAATCAGCACTGGATATATGAGGTAAGTATCATGCCAGTGTTCCATTATATAATAAATGGACAATTCTGGCATATTTACTTGACAGTTACAAAAATAAATTGTTTTAATTACTGACATACTATTTTCATCCCTGATAAAAGACGGGGGGGGGTGGGGGGGGGGGGGGGGGGGGGCGGGGGGGGGGGGGGGGGGGGGGGGGGGGGGGGGGGGGGGGGGGGGGGTCTTAAACTAAACTATGATATATTTGTTTCTTTTATGGTAATCAGTTTTAAAATAACTTCATCCTGAGGACCATAGTTTACCTAATTCTGTGGAAATGGGTAAGTTTTTAAATATTCCTCATTGTTTTTAAGTTTGTCTGTAAATGTTTTAATATTCTTTATATATATATATGCACACACACATATACACATTTAAATCTATACATATGTATGTGGTTTTCTTCTATCAATTTCCAGGACTCTTACAATAGCATCAACAGAAAAAGACAAACGAAATTCTCAAATTGAAGCTGCAATAGAGATAATAATGAATGTGAAGAAAGCTAATGAACAAAGACTACTATCCAGATCAAACAGAGAACAGCAGCTAGCTTCGGATTTGACAGCATCTTGTGGATTAGTGCTAAATCCTGAGACAGTAAGATTTGCTATGTCATGTAGAAATATTTTGTTCATCATCATCATATTTTGTTCATAGTTCATCATCATTCTGTATAATAAATACTATTTATCCACAAATCTCAAAAGGAAACTTGTTAATCTCTGTGTAATAGAAAAATGTTTTTTTTTTTTTCCTTCTTTATCCAGCTTAAAAAGAATGTGTGTATTTCCTTATCTCTTCAACGGAAGAGTTTATTTGTTGATCGCCATAACAAACAATGTCATCAATGTTGAGACGTGCATGTGACGGATGTAATCCCTATCTGCACTTTCCATTGCTCCCCCCCAAAAAAACGCATTATTTTACTGTTTATTAATGACTGTTTGCTATTTATTACAAATATTCTACTTGGTTGACTTCTCGCCGAACACGTAAAGTTTGGTTAGAGTATTAACATAGCAAAATATATGCTCGCTGCATGCTTATACTACTCATGCAGAAACTGTAACATGTTAAAGCTAACAATTACTAGTACTACAATATCAGCTGCATGGTCATACTCTCAGCACCGAAGTGACGAGGAGGAAAATGTCATAGACACCATACTCAGTGTAATCATTACCTGTTAATGCTTACATATGAGAACTGATCATGCCTCGCCACTGTATGTCATATATTGCATGGAAAGTCATGGACATTTTTTCTTTCGGTTTGATTTCAGATTTCATTAGGCATTGACAGTGTAGAGAACGCTGATGACTTCATCAATGTTGGACGAGTCCTTGGCAAAGGCAACTGCTCGGGAGAAGTCATTGTAGTGAAAGATAAAGTGACAGAAAAAGAAGTAGCAGTCAAAAACTGTAAATATCTGTTCATTGTGAGAATTCTACAACTTTTCTGTTTGTATATACGGTATGAAATCTGGACTATTCAGTCACAAAACGACCCTGTATGGGTTTCCAGGTCCCCATTTTGGGGGAAAAAAGAATAGACCCACCCTGCTATAACAAGCATGTCGTAAGAGATTACTTCTTTCTCTTCTTAAAGTCCATGCTGGTGGAATTCGTGTCTCTCCACAACCTTCTGTCTTGTGCACTTTCAATCGACTCTGACACAGATGATCTTTCATGCCATGATGTTAAACTGTCCAGCATCTGTTCTCTCAGTCTCCATCTGCCTCTCTTCCCCTCCAACTTTCTTACCGTCATGTTGTACTCCAGTTTTCTTCTTTTCATCACATGACAAAAGAATATAGATTATGTGACTAATTCGGTCTTAGAGGTGTCCTTTGAAAGTCAGAATGCATGCCTGAGAGGCAAGAAGCTAACAGTCTGCATACAGATAAGCCAGATTTGTAAAAACATGTGTGTACACAAGCTCAAAGTCCAGAACTTTCCATTTGAGTTTACAGCTCCTGTACACTGAGAAGGAAAAAAAAACAGAAGAAGAAGTCACAAGATGCAGACTGACTGTTCATTTGCAGCATTCAACCAAAATGTAATTTATCATTGTTTTGTTTGGGAGCTGTTACTGCAGTAAAGTGGTTAGCATGCGTGCCTGCCAGCCCAACAGTTATGAGTTTGAATCCCATTCAGGCAGGAATTATTTTAATTGACCTAGACTCCCAAGTCAACTGAGCATTAGATAGGTGACTGGAAATTTCCTAGGAAGTAAAGACAGCTTTCATGATATTTAGCCCATCCCCAATCATTTTCAAAACATGTGGCTTATATATTATCCCCAGTACACCTCATGAAAAGGGTACTTTTCCACACAGATTTAGGATTTAGTCTGGTTTGTTTCATGAATAAATTTTCACTATTTCAGTATACACCAATTCATATATAAGAAGTGTTAATTTGAAACCTGTTTCAATGACTTTCCAAAAGCACGGAAAAAACATCAACAAGTGTAGCAGAATTGAAAAACCCCATAAAAATGATTGTGGTTGCTCACAGAATCAAATGTTTATTATGTTCATTACATCTGCATCTGTGTGAAATCTTTTAGTCATTTAGTCATCGGTTAAAATCCATGGTACCCCTTGTAAACACACCTTCTGATGCTGCAGTTTCTTTGAACAACCCTTCTAGCTTTCCACTGGACACATCAAATTATTTTGCTAGCGAACATATACTTGGACCGCAGTTCACCTGTGTTGCTGCAACAATTTTGGTGATGGCGTTTTCTGTTGCAACAATATGTGCTTGACCCAGACAAGGAAGATCTGTCATGAACTCATATTCGTTCTAAAACATTCCTGCCGTCTGTCATTGTTGCCTTCAACACACATCAGTTACTGTACATTGTCTGCATTCTTTGATGAATGTCCACTGATCGACATTCCTCAAATGAAAAACACTGAATTGCCATTCTTTGAGTTTCTTTAGATGGATTTTGGATCAACTGCTATTTTCCCAACAGTCAGAAACAGAACCTATGCATCATGGGACAAAATCATGTGCTATTCATTGGTTGGTATACTTATCACATGACCATGATGTGATTATGTTCAGTGCACACAATAACATGCGATGTAGCCGGGACCGGTTTGAGATGAACCCCCTTATAGTTGTTCCAGTCACCTTCCTTAGGTGGCACAAGGGGAATTTTACCACAGTGTAAAAAGTGTAGTATTGGTGAGGAACCCTGTATCTGGAAACAATGGATAGCTCTAAAGGGAGGGATTAAACAGTGCATCACAAGAACAACAGTTTCCATATAAGGTATTGATATATCCTAAAACAAAATAAAGATATCCCAGATCACTAAATATTCACAAGAATACACATTATGATTATGAAAACTATTTAAAAAGTACACTGATAATATATTAAAGAAAACACTCCTACAATCTTTTACAATTAATATGTAGTCTATGCAGTTACCAAAAGAAATTAAAAAACATCAATATGTAATACTGAAATTAAAATTTGAAAAATTCTGTAATTGCTAATTATAATCCAGATGGGTTGAACAGGATATCATTATTTAAACTATTACTTCTATGTGTAAACCAAACCTGTTATTTTTGTTTCCTTTATTTTTCTGAATTTTGTTTTCTAATTTTGAAGAAACAAATTAAATATTTGTTTCAGATTCTGGTTTCTCACTTTAATGATGATGAAATAAAAGCTTGGATCAGACTCGGAGATGAAGATATGGCCCCAGAGTTGTATCACTTCAGACTGGTTGATGGGAAGGTTGAGGTTTCCATGGAACCGCTGACAGGTTTGTTATGATTCAACATTATGAAATAAATGGTTGCCAGGCTTGTGTTTTCTCCAGCCTTTAACTTAAAGTCATGAGCAGGGAGACAGAGCTAATGTAAACTTGTCCTCAGTGCTATGTTGTCAAATCTTTAACCAGATGAACCCAGATAATTGAAAGTCATGAGAAGGGAACGACGATGATGATACCGTAATTAAAGAAGAGGAAAAATGCTGGCATTCAGATCTGAACATCAAAGAATGTTGAGTGTTGAAGTGACATCACAGCACTCGGAACATTCCATAATGGCCCAGTTCCCATCTTGAGCAGTAAGCACATAATTCCAATTCCAGTGGTACCAGTGACTGTATGATTATATATCCGTCTTACTTTTCTCTTTCAGCATCAATTAGATTCCCTCATCATTCCTCGCAGCACAACATCAAAGAGATTGTTTCATAAACATCCTCATCTTTCAATCATATTGGCATTTCATATGTCAGTGGCATACCAAATGTCCATGGCATATCACTTGTCATTGGCATAGCAAGAACAGGGATAAAGAGGCAGGAGTTGACCAGTGCACAGACTGACACCGGATAGTGGCAACTCTTTGGGCATGGCAAAATATGAGGCAAGAGAATTGGCAAGGATCCAAAAGGCCCTCTAGTGGGTCATGATCAGAACTGTTTAATTTAAATATATATCTAGACATTCTTCTTCTTCTTCTTCTTCTTCTTCTTCTTCTTCTTCTTCTTCTTCTTCTTCTTCTTCTTCTTCTTCTTCTTCTTCTTCTTCTTCTTCTTCTTCTTCTTCTTCTTCTTCTTCTTTCTTCTTCTTCTTCTTCTTCTTCTTCTTCTTCTTCTTCTTCTTCTTCTTCTTCTTCTACTTCTTCGCGTTCACTAACTGTAAACTCCATGGAAAGTTCTGGTTGTTCGTCCACTTCTAGACTCTAGTCTTGTTCCAGAACCAGAGTGTTTTGTGCACCCACACGGGAAATATCCAGACATGTGTCTAGACATACAGTTTATTAACTCTTTCAGTCGCAGATAGGTCTCAGTTCAACTCATCATTTCTTTAGAAGTTGGTATTATATTAAAAAAGGTTCATGTCTGATCAAGTGAACATTATAATGATATGAGGCATTTTAGGTTAAAGTGATATTTTGGGTGGTGCAGGTGAATGCAGCACCTGGACTGGGTGGAGAGAGTCAAAGGTAGCTGATGTCAGTAGAAGCTAACTTACATATACTGAGCTGCTTGGCGCTGAAAGAGTTAAAGAACAACAAATGAAATGGTTTGGTCATCTGATGAGTATGTCCTGGTACCAGTTGCCACAGAGAACCTTGCTGAAGAAAAATAATTGACACATAAGATGGGACATCAAGAACATCAGTAACACTGTTACAGATAGGACATCAAGAACATCAGTAACACTGTTACAGATAGGACATCAAGAACATCAGTAACACTGTTACAGATAGGACATCAAGAACATCTGTAACATTGTTACAGATGGGACATCAAGAACATCAGTAACACTGTTACAGATAGGACATCAAGAACATCAGTAACACTGTTACAGATAGGACATCAAGAACATCAGTAACACTGTTACAGAAATAAAGATCCTTACACACACGCACATCCCCGTGTGAGTTCCGGGGCCCTATTATAGGGAAAACAAGTATAGACCCACTGCCAGCCCAAAAGCATGTCTAAGAGTCGACTAATTGGGAGCTTCCCTCGAAGTCGGAGTGCATCTGTCTGAGAGACAAGGAACCAGCAGTCTGCATGCCAATGAGTCAGATATGTAAAACGGATGCACACACAACACTCTGATTCTGAAACCGGACTGCAGTCCAGAAGTGGATGAACAACCAGAACTTTCCGCCAGAGTTTACAGCTGGTAAAGGCAAAGAAGAAGCAGAAGAACACACACACACACACTTTGATGAAGTAAGTGGAGGAATTGAACAAGGGTTTAATTTCTTGGTTGGATTTTGGAAAACTTGGATTACAATTTGTTCATTGTTTTCTCTGCTGCCCTGATTTCAGGCCACACAATGGAACAAGTAACTGAGCTCTGGGTGCAGATGTATCAACAGGACAGCAGCATTGCTGAAAAGCTGTCGCTATGTGTCTTAGATGATCTTTTAGGAATCCATGATAAACTGAAGCCTTTCAGCCATGGAGACATACATGGTAGTGATGTTTTTTATTTTCCACTTTACTATGTCACTTAGTGATGTAGGTGATCTGTTAGGAATCCATGATATGTGGAAGACCTACTATATCTAAGTGTGAATGATTGAAACAACCAGTAGAGGAGACGAGTGGTCAAAGCATAGAGCAAAAAAATTGACTTGTGTCGGCCTCTATTCACACTTGGCCTGAAGTGCAGAGATTGGCCAGCAGGCACTGCAGAATCAGACAATTAACCCATGATCAAATAATTTCCAGTGAAATTTAAGAACAAACAAAAGATTTTGTCACCGGATGGGACTCAAACTGAGAACATTTAGTATAACTAGAATATCCTTTCACTGGAATCCATAGAAACAAAAAGTGGAGGAGCTAACAATATAGTTTTAATGACGTTTTAAAATGTATGTCTGTGTATTATTTTGTGTGAGTTGGTTAAAGGATTTTGTGTGAGTTGGTTAAAGGATTTTGTGTGAGTTGGTTAGAGGATTTTGTGTGAGTTGGTTAAAGGATTTTGTGTGAGTTGGTTAAAGGATTTTGTGTGAGTTGGTTAAAGGATTTTGTGTGAGTTGGTTAAAGGTTTTGTGTGAGTTGGTTAAAGGATTTTGTGTGAGTTGGTTAAAGGATTTTGTGTGAGTTGGTTAAAGGATTTTGTGTGAGTTGGTTAAAGGATTTTGTGTGAGTTGGTTAAAGGTTTTGTGTGAGTTGGTTAAAGGATTTTGTGTGAGTTGGTTACAGAATTTTGTGTGAGTTGGTTAAAACATTTTGTGTGAGTTGGTTAAACGATTTTGTGTGAGTTGGATAAAAGATTTGGTGTGAGTTGGTTGAAGGATTTTGCTTCATTAGCATGTAAAATGCAGAAGACTCAATTAATGGCAGTTCCAGTGTGACTGCAAATGTGTCACACGATAATTACTCCATTCTGTGCCAGCAAAAACCACATAGAATGTATATTTCCCTTTGATTATTGTTTTGCTTGATTATTGTGCTTGATCTTTCGAAGTAAAATTGTAGGCATTTGAAAGACTTGTAAGCCAAGGCTAGTTTTATTGACAGCATATGTGTTGAGATTTGATATTATATTCAGAAAACAACTGATTAGATACATATTACATTCTGACCAGAAAGATTTTTATCTCACATACAAAGCTCAGGGAATATTTGTTCCACTTATTTTGCAGCTGGAAATGTCTTTTTGGAAAATTCCATGACTGTTAAGCTGATTGACTTTGGGGAAGCCAGAAATTTGATCCGGCTCTCATCTCTTGACAGAGGTATGGCCTTGAGGAATGACCTTGTGGGCATCATACGTATCTTCTGTGCTCTGTATTCTGGTGTTGATTTTAATGATATCTGGGATGCTAAGAAACAGTTAGCAGAAAATGATCTGTCTCAGGTAGGAAGCCACATAAACTCATTTTACTGTTAGCTTCTGTTCTTTAAAACAAATCCTTAAAGGGCACATGGTTTAATATAGATTTATTCTCGCAGCATTTTATAATTTACTGTTAAAACTTTAAAGTTAAATATTTATATATCTTTCAAAACTATGTTGATATTATTATGGTAGGAACAGGGATATCAAAATTTATAACCAGGGAAAAAAAACAAAAGACATGTATAGTAGAAGTTAGGAATGCCTGCATTTTACGAAGACCCACAGAGAAAGTGGAGAACAGTACCGCTGTAGCCTACCATGCTTACTGCAAGAAGCAACACAACAGGGTTGACATGAAACTTGTCCAGCTACCTTATTCCATAGAATACTTTAGCTGCCAGATCCAGTCAAAGATGAGCAAGTCTACACAGAGAATTGGTTCAGCACAAATGCTCTATTGAGAAGAAGAATAAAGCAGAAGAATCAGAAAACTTTTCAAAAGCTCAGATGACAAAAGTGGAGGAACTTGACTGTTTGTGTCGGTACATGGGGCTCCCACTCACTGCATCACTACCTGTAGTGAGGAACATCTTAAAACTTTACTTTTAAAGTGAAAAACTATTTACCCTGTTTTTTTTTGTTTTTTTTTTTTCAACATTTGCTTGATAACTGATCATTTTACAATAGCATGTTTTTGGATCCCCTGACTTCCTGTTGAATTGATTCTTGTTGAACTTCATCTTTGTTCATCCTTAAAAGGGCGCTTGGCATGTTGTTTTGTGTTTTACAATTTGGCTGCAAAATTTACACTTTTTGGCCCAGACAGATTCATTTTTAATCAGTTACTCAGCAGAATGATGCTCTCTTCAAAGCACATGTAAAAGTCTCTCTTCCTCTAGCCAATTCTCCAGCCCTATGTGCTTTGATATCAGTGTATCTTCAGTATTATGTATCCACCTTTGTAGAGGTTAGCCTGTGCCTCTGTGCAGAAACTGCACCCCCCCCCCCCCCCCCCCGTCACAGTTCTCTCTAGACCACCGTGGTGCTTCACATGGCCAAAATAGTTCAGCTTTAGGGAGAGGATGCTGTTTATGAGCCAGTTCTCCTTGATGTTTAGGTTATGGAAGATGTCAGATTTGTTCTTCTTCTTGATCAAGAATATTCTGAGAATTTCTCTGTAGCGCCCCCCCCCCCCCCCCCCCCCGGGTCTTCCCCGAAAATAGGGAATTTTGATTGAACAAGATAGTTATCTTATTAAATATCAATGTATTATGTTTTAAATTCATTGCCATTTTTATTCGTCTGAGTTACATTTGGTTTTCTTTCCTTTTTATTTTAAGCTGAATGCGAACATACAACATATTTCAGAAGCTTCCCGTAAGGATCTGTTTAAAATTATGAGTATGTTGTATGACACCGTACGTGATTCTAACTCTAATCAGGAAGGTTTTGGAGACACTTCACGTGTAGCAACACATATCAAGACTCTCTTGCCTAAAGGTTAGTAAATGTCTGTCATGTTTAATAATAGCTCAGCATTCCTCTAGTGTTTTGTCATAATCCAATATTAGAAAAATGGATCCTTTGAGATCACAAGATTGTGTCCCAAAGAACTATGATCTTGGAGAATGACTCCACTGGTGCAGCCTGTCCAAATACTGAATCCATTCTCTGTCTCCTATAAGTCTGAGTTTTTTTTTTACTCTACCATCTCTGCCAAAGTTTGAATTCTGAACACTTCACTATCACTACCAAATTTAAATAATGCAGACACAAAAATACAGCGCACAAGTTATTGCCTGCCATATTTTGCTGTATCTCATCAGTTGCATTGCTACAGAGTTAAATCAACATACAGTGAATTCATTTTATGTAGATGTAACTCTGTAGTAATGCACCTGACGAGATACAGCGAAATATGACAGGCAACAAATTGTCCAATGTACTGTTTGTGTCTACATTATTTAAATTTACAACAGGAAAAAAATTGTTTTGAATCTCTACCAAAGTTTGAATTCTGAACACTTCACCATCTCTACCAACGTATGCTTCCTTCAAGATGCACAACAGCATTGTTAAGATTGTTGAATATTCTAATTACCTTTGATCTGATATACTCTAATAAGTTTAATTTGGTGTCTCAAACAGATTATCCTTTGCCTAGTAAAATGACATAGTTTATGAGTTTTATCTCCTTTCATTTTCTTATTTCAGATATTGAGAACTTTAAGAAGAAAGTTGCGGTCATACTTTTTCCAGAGAAGTACCAAATTCAGGTTAGCCTAGATTGAATCTTCACATACATTTTATGTTGTCTGCACCAAAAAATATATGTAAATAATGCTGCATGGCTATATATGTACATGAAAAATATCAAACCAAATTAAAAGTAGAACCAGTCAGCTAGACATTATTACAAGGGACAAGTGAATATTGCTGCTAAAAAGCTTTCATCAGCAAATGACATGAATAGTTAATTTAAAATTGTAAAAAAAATGCGCAGAATAACTTAACTGCGGTATCTTTGAGACAATTCTATTGCCTGTCTGGCAAGTTGAAGCACTGACACACATTTGAGTTCAGGAAATGAATACTGGACAGAAAAGTTGTGGGAGGCAAGGGCTTCAACTCCAAAATATTAAATAAAGCTGTGTTGGACGTTAAGTCTCTTAAGCAAGGTGGAAACCATTGGGTAGATAAGGTGGTTCTCAAGAGACTTAGCCACTGTATTTACAATTGCTAGACTTGATAGCCATAAGCTCCATGTTGAAAACACCTTCATGGCCTTGAAAATTAACAAGCACTGACATAAATTTGAATGCACTCTTCTGCACATCTAAAAGATGTTGCCTGAACTTGTCAACTAGTCATGGCCCGGTTCCACTGATGTATTTCATACATCTTTTGCAGATGATGGCATAGATTACATTGTGGCTCATGCAAAAGAATCCCTCAGTATGTGGAAGTGGCATTAGGGAATGCCAGCCTGTCCGCTTAAACCAATCACAGACAACTCTTGCATGTGGGCCTATGACAACAAGATGCAAACATTATTGACAGCTAAGGAGATAATAAAAAACTCATTAAAAATGATAATCATCAAAACTTGTGTATACACAACCCTGCTTTTGGTGCAGAAACTTGGACAATGAACAGGCAATTAGAAAATCAAATTAAGTTTCTGGAAATGTGGATTTACAGAAGAATAGGTCGTATCCATGGAAATAAAAACAATAAGATGGAGAGGTTCTGGGGTGATTGTAAATGGAAAGAGAGTTACTGAAATAAATAAAAAAGAGACAACTTAAATATTTTAGTCACATTAAAAGACACAACACTGTTTTAAAAATCATACTGGAGGGAAAGATTGAAGGCAAGAGTGCAAGAGGTAGACGTTATCACAAGTGGGTTTGATGCCCCATTGTGGGGAAAACAAGAATAGACCCACTGCCTGCCTAAAAGCATGTTGTAAGAGACTAACTGGGAACTTCCTTCAAAGTCATAGCACATCTGTCTGAGAGGCAAGGAACCAACAGTCTTTGTGCAGATGAGTGAGACTTGTGAAACTGATGTACATGCAAAACTCAGTTTCTGGAATAATACTAGAGTCCAGAAATGGACGAACAACCCAAACTTTCGCTGGTGAATGCTAAGAAGAAGAAGACAAATGGGAAGACAGTATCAAGAGATTGATGAACAGCAGTCTGAAACATTGTACCAAAAAAAATCAAAAGACCCAGTGTGTTGGAGATCCACTGCGCCAACCTTTATTGTAGAGACGGCAGTTGATTGATTGGAGATGATTTGTAAGCATGTTAGGTGATGAAATTTATAGGATGTTACATCTGCGTTGACATGACAGCGTATTTTCAAGGTGGGATTTCTGGAATTCTTCTTCTTCTGCTATCACCCTTGAAAAAGCAGTTGGTACAGTGTGTTGTGTTTTACAGCTAGGCTGCGATATCTGTGCCTTTTGGCCCAATACATCCAGGTTCAGCAAGACCCTTGTTAGTCACCTTTTACATCTTGCTTGGTGGGGGGGGGGGGGGGGGGGGGGAATAGGGCCCTGGAACCCACACAGGAAATATGTTTGGAATGACATACAAATGTTAAATTTTTTCATCTTGTATGCAGTGTTAATACTAAAATATTACATATAAAATAACAGGAATAAATAATTTTTGTTGTTGCTTTTTGCAGGTTGATGGGACGGATTCTATGAATGATCACACTATTGATAATGACAGTGATATTCTTGCGTGGGACAGCCCGTTTATGAATTATTGTCTTACAAAAATCACGTTTAAAGATCTCCAGAAACTTGACGCAACATCTTTCTTCTTTTAAAATTATTATTTTCATATTAATTGTTATACGATAAGCAACACTTAGTGTGCCTAACAATTGCAGCTATGCTCAGCTGTTGTTTAAAAAAATTATATTCTGTTATTTTTGTGTGCCTGAATCCTATTATTTTGCTTTGTCTAAATATATCATTGTGATGAAATTGTATAAAATGGTGCGTGACTCACGACTTTCAAATTAATCCTGCAGCCTTTACTTCATCATTACCTCCTCATTTTAACTTCCATACCCTCGCTGTCTCTCATTACATCCAGTATTTGTGGTATTATAAAAAAATCCTGTAATCTCTCTCTCTTCTATACCCCCTCTATGACATTTTCTACAGTATTTCTGTATCATAAATCATCCTAAAATCTCTCTCTGTCAGTATGTATAGCAGGGCCATATAACTGGTGGCTTTCAGGCCAAATCTGGCCTAAAGAGGCCAGCTCGTGGCCCACGGATCATTGTCAATTGTATTGTATTAATGATCTTTCTACGATGCGGTCTAGGCCAGATGAGCCCAGTTTTTTTTTTATTTCGGCTCAAGTAAACTTAGTTTAAAAGCCCTGGTGTATTTAGTTTGCGGTAAAATAAAATATTGTAGCCTCTCTCTTTCTTTCCCTCCCTCTCTACAGTATTTGTAGTATAATAAAATAACAAACAAGTATCCTTCTCTCCCTATCTGTGCGGGTGAGAGAGAGAGAGAGAGAGAGAGAGAGACAGAGTATCATGTTTACATTATTTAATGTTGTAATAATATATCCAAAAGTATCTCCTATCCCCAACAACACTTGTGAAACTTTTTAATTATTTTGAAGACATTTCGGTGGCATGATCTTAAGTAATTTGTTTAATAAACTATCATCATAGAGGCAGCAAAGGTGAGATAAAATCTATGCTGTTTATTTATGTTTTTCCAAACGCTTGTACTGAGAGAAGCCAGGAACGAATATTTTGGCTTTGTGTTGACCTGGTTAAAATGTTTCAATATTCTGTATACAACAAAGTATACATGTTTAATCAATTGTTTTTTCCATACAGCCAATTATAGAATCATCATTTTTATCTGAGGTAATCTGGTAGCCATTGCAACATACGCCTGTGAGACCTGGACACTTACTAAACAAGCGGAACAGCGCATAAATGCATTTGAATATAAATGTTACAGACAGGTTCTAAGAATATCTTGGGTAAAGAAAAGAACAAATGCATCCATACTTCAAGAGCTGAATATTGAAGAGGGTTGGCTAGTAAAGACAATAAAACAAAGAAAATTGAAATATTTTGGTCACTTGAAACGTCATGGAAGTCTAGAGAGAACAATAATGGAGGGGTATATGCCTGGGAAGAGAGGAAGAGGAAGGCCAAGGAGAAGATGGGTGCAGGATGTGGCAGATGATCTCCAGATGGGTGTATCAGATGCAGGACATCTTGCTCAGGATAGGAAGGTTTTCCGGAGGGTTGTTATGGCAGCGAGGTTCCGTGAGGGACATGCTACTGAATGAATGAATCTGGTAGCTAGACAGACTGAAGATGTAAATGTTACTATAATAACATGACAAAATCTGTATTTCTTGATCACACTATACAGCATATTATTAATGATCTACACTTTTTGTTGTTGTTGGTATCTGTATATTTTTATACTTCTAATCTTTTTAAACATTCTCTGTAGTTTTATGCACAAATGGGCAATTTACACATATTTTTTTTCTTTATGTAGATCTATATTTTTGTCCCTGTTTATAGAAATGCAATATTTGTAGTTTTCAGCTTACTGGAAAATTTTATATTGTTTTTCTTTTCCTGACATTTTTTATTTGTCTAGTAAGCACTTTTATGTTTCCATTTTTGTCTGCTTCTTTATTGCAATTTGTAAAGATTATACAGACAGTGTGATGCAGACTGCTCTACAAGGACACATCTTATGTATTATATAAATTAACTCTTTGAGTCCCAAGGAACGCATCACGCGCTCATTTTTTACTACTTGGTGGCCCAAACAGCGCATGACGTGTGACGGTTTTTAATTTACCACTTATCGGTAATTACACGTGAACCGCTCAATTTAAACTTCCTTTCCGGTTCTCAAGTGTGTAGTGTACACACGTGGAGTGCATTCGTTTGGGTCTGGTGAGTTTTTAACGCTTTAAATCGATATTTGTGTGGTCTACTACATTACCAAACAATTGTCTGAAAACAATATGTCCGATCAGTCATCTTCTTCACGCCCATCAAAGCGATTTACTGCTTTAGAATCATCAAATTTGATAAAACAGTGGATCAGTTAAAGTAATGTGGAGTTGGATAATGAAAGTAGCGACGTGAAATTTCCCCAAACCGTTGACGAGTCAAGTTTTGATGAGGATGTGTGCGTAATTTACCTCTTGCTAAGAGGACAAAACTGACTAATTCTGCCTTGGCAACACAAGAGAAGCACCTCGTAACGCGACACCAGCTATTCCAAATGTCAGCGCTTCTAGTACTACTATCCATATAATCTAAAACCATAGATATATATCTATGAACAGATTGACATGTTTACAGTGCCTTTACAGTTTTTTTCTATGTGAGGAATTCAATTGTTTTTAGAAAAGTCACTGTTTGTGCCACTGAAGAATATATTTTGACGTGTTATGGTAGTGTTATTAAAATTGCTATGGAACAAAAACTATTGCACATTTTGCTTTAATGTTGGCTGTGCATTCTTATAAGTGGTTTACCTTCCTTTGTGATGTATTTTAGATATACTATATCAAGAATTTTGGGATCAGCTTCTGGGTAAGTGGAAAAAACTTGTTCATAATTTACTCACCTCTCAAACTAAGTCACTGTTTTCTCTACTAAAAACTAACTAACAGTATAATTGTTTGTTGTAGCAGTATGCTAATATTAATCCTTATCCATTTATGTTTAATTTTATGTATGATATGTGTATGTTGGACATCAGCTGCAGTTGTGTGGTTTGTTTTAAAGTGCTGCATTTGTTAAAAGTCAAAATCATATTACCCCCCTTGGGCCCCTGGTGCAAAACCCCCTGGGACTCAAAGAGTTAATCATTATTATATATATTTATATTTGTAGTCATCATCTTTTTTTTTTACATGAGATTTTACAAATTGTGTGTTCATTCACATGTGTATTCGTTCATATCTGGTGGGCACCCTTGCAGATAAGAGTATTACATTGTTCTTTAGGTCTTAGATTGTATTATTTATTCTTCTCATTATTTGTTTAGGGGGACAATAAGTCATTTTCACCAGGACAGGCAAACCTAGGTAAATTTTTTTTAATTTTTTTTTTTGGAGTATTGGAAAGACAGTCTGAGCCTACCTAATATAATGATACTGTCCTGGTGAAATTTTTGTGTCCCCCTAAATAAAGAATAATAGGAATAAAAATTACAATGTAAAACCCATTTATTACATTACATTATTTATTATGTGTTAAACTGTACTTAAAGGTTATGAATGTGAAGCTAGATGTGGCAGCAAATGAAAAATGTGCAGGAACGAATCAATCATTCTGGTCTGAAGAGAATGTTACAGCTAGAAGTGATCATAAGATCTGGTCAACACTCTGGTCAACACTCTGGTCAACACTCTAGTCAACACTCTACACTCAGAGAAAAGGCAAGATGAACATAAAATCAAATTGCTACTGGCACCTTTGGAAATTGGAACTCTTCATTGGCAGCTGAAGATGGGGATAGAACACTTGTGGGAATATCTCTGACTGCTCTGATGTCAAATTTTAGCTCATCAGAGAGATATAAGAACTACAACCCATTGCAATGGTGAGTCTTGCACTGCTCAAGCACTCAACTCTTTACCCTTTGCAGTCATTTTCTTCTTTTTCTCCATTCGTCTCTTGATTTCCCCATCCATGCAGCACTATCCATGACAACCTGGCACAGCATTATCTAGAGAAGATATGTGATTTGTGTATTTCAGTGGAATGAATTTACTTTCTCATGCTTCATTATTTGTTGATTAAAGCAAAGGTCCCTTTTTCCACACCTTTAGGCTTATTGGAAATATAGGGCAAGATCTATATATTTTTAGATCAATCGGCACTTGGTGGGTGATGTGGTCAGCATCATGTTAGCCGCCTTTACTTTCCAAGACTCCATCTGGTACCCACTCAAGGCTAGTCCGACCTGGGAGTCGGTCATTTTTGAAAGAAAAAAAACGTCTAGCTTGGTCAGGAAGCGAACCCACGACCTTCTGATCCGCAGGTGGGCATCTAACCGTCAACCCCACGGTGACTCCCCATTATTTGTTTATGTAATTTTGTAATAATGTACCTGATGAGATAGAGTGAAATATGCATGGCAATAAAATGTGCAATCTTTTGTTTGTGTGCACAGTGTGTCTGCATGAAATTAGAGGAACCAACAGTCTGCATACGTATACGCCAAATATGTAATATGGATGTGCATGCAAAACTCAAGTTCTGGAATAAGAACAAATTCTAGAAGAGGACGAAGAACTAGAACTTTATGCCAAAGTTTACAGGTGGTAAACACTAAGAAGAAGATGTTAGTAGTAACCCTTTTATGCCAGTGCTACGTCAAGTATCATGATGATGATGATGCTACATCAAGTATCATGATGATGATGATACGTCAAGTACGGGATGCTAGCATCATATTTATACAGGCTAATAGAAACTCAGTGGGTGATGGGATTAACCTAGAGATGACCTACTACCCAGTTTAGGCTGTGTCGACCCAAGAGTCAACGTCAATTAAAAAAAAAATACTGCCTTGATGCAGATTTGAACTGTACACCTTATGGGAAAACAGGTGAGTATCTAGTCACTACAGTACCATATTTATAAAATGGTTTTTATTTATTGTTTACTTTGTATTGATTGCACCGCAACTTTGGTTTTTATGTCATTTTATGTTCTTTCATAAATGAAATAAAATATCTCCATTATAAATCTTATAGTTGAGAGCTGATTCATGGTTGTTTGTCAGGGAATGCCTGAACAGAGGAAAAATACAGATTTGGCTTCTAAATTCAATTTGTTGTTTCAATTTGTTGTTGCAGCCCAGATACGTAATAGGTAATTACATTTCCAGCTTCACAGCAAACGGTAAAAAAAAAAGTAAACGACCCTTTTCCACGCCTTTAGGCTTATAGGGCATATAGGGCTAGGCCTATATTTTTATAGACCAATCGGCACAAGATGGGTGATGTGGTCAGCATGACGTCGGCCACCTTTACTTCCCGGGACTGCACCCGGTACCCACTCAAGGCTATAGCAAACGGGACACCCCTTAATTCCTTCTCTTGTACCAACAAAAACCACACAGAATGTCCATCACTGTCCAGTGTGAAACAATTATTGATACTGATTGCAGTTCAGCAAAGCTAACAGCATACACATGCATTAAACGCATAAGGCAGCCATCAGAAGCATTAACACAAACAGTCCAGCACTAGAAATGCACTTCATCGTTGATGAAAACATCAGGTACAACAGATCAGTAGTTGCACACACAATTAGTTGTATAAGGAACCATGAGTTCTCTGGCAAAATGCCATTTTCTTAATCTGCAGTCATAACATAAACCACATTGGACACAGTCAAAAAGCATTCCAAATGAAATCCAGAGTTCACAGTGTCACAACATGCACTCAGCTTAGTAGCTGGGCAGTGGAACTATATCCTTTCAGTCTACAAATGTTGGAAGATGCAACAAACTATTGTCAGAAGCAAGCACTTTCCAGGACTAAAAACAGTTACCCAGCCTATCCACCATATTGACTGGAAGTAACTGGATGTTTGCAATATCCCGAGCTATCAAATGTCCTGGGCTATACACTGACCACATCCTCACACTGGTAATGTTTTGGACCTGACACTGACCACGTCCTCACACTGGTAATGTTTTGGACCTGACACTGACCACGTCCTCACACTGGTAATGTTTTGGACCTGACACTGACCATATCCCAACATGGAATGTTCTGGATACAGTCTTTATCAAGCACCTCTCCAAATTCATTGACCTCAGAGAATAATTACTAAAGATGATGACTGAAAGTATTGCCATCATATAGAACAGCGGTCTCCAACCTAGAGGGCGTGAGGAAGTTTCAAGGGGGCGTCAAGCAATTTTATTCTCACATAAAGATACAAACAACGGAAATGAGTAAACAGTTCCGTTTTTCCTAGCGAGGCTGAGCGATTTCTTCTTCTTCTTTTGTTCACTTGAAAAAGATTATATCTGCAGTGTTGTCTCTAGTATGAACTTTACAGTCTTTTGTAATTCACCCAGTGACCCGTAAAGTTTGGCTTGACGGATGTTTCTCTTGGCCAAAAGTTTTGTCTTGATACGTTGTATTTGGGACAGTCTTAGAGGACGTGATCTGTTGTCTCAGATGCCAGTCCACATGTGCACGTGGCTGATTCACCAATTCAAAATTACGTCAACATTTGGCTGCGAAATCGACTAGCTGGTTCTGCACTAATTGGTGGTGAACTGATGTATGACAAGCTGGATCTTGTGAGGGCCCTTTGGGAGCGAGTGAACATTGTCGAGGCACAAAGAGATCATTACGGTCTGAGGAGAATGGCACTGCGAGGAGTTACAAGGGGATCTGGCCGACGCTCAACACTCAGGGAAAAAACAGGACAGATATACAATCAAAGTTACTGGTACCATCGGAATTGTAACTGTTCTCTTGCTGCTGAAGATGGGAGCACGGATGGGGGGTGTCCGAGTGTTGTGATGTCGATTCTTGATTTAACATTCAGTCAACTGTGTCCTGTTCTAAGGCGTAAAATAATAACTTTCACTGGTATGTCCATAATATGGAAATCGTCTTGTGCCGGTTTTTTAGGGCTTGAACTTCTGCATCATAGTTGCGACAGTGCTTTCCTGTAGGTATTTTGGCTGTATGTATATTTGGTATTATTTGGATGCTCTATGTACACTCCTGCTCCTCCATTTCTGCTTGCGTTTTGTGCTGATCCATCTGTACAGACACCAACCCAAAGATTATGTGGGTATTCAACATCAAGCAGGGTGAGTGTGGCTGTTTTACTTTGCACACTGTTTTGTTCTTCCTTGTTTAATACTCTTCACTTCTGTCTGGATGTGTATTGGCAAATTATAATCCTCTTTTCAAGGGGTCTGATCTGGAACAGCATTTAAGGGGCTATCAACTGCAGGCAGATCATTGGTTTGCAGAGTCGTTAGGCCTGGTGAATGAAACTGCTTATTTTTAGTCGCCCCATTGCTAGATTTTGGCATCTTTCTTTCATAGGATGTTCAGGCATGCTTAGAAACTTTTCTGCTTGTATTAGTATCCTAGTGTCTCTTCGTTCTGTCAGTGTTTGAGTCAATACCATCTTCTCCATTAATTACAGCTATAGGTATGACTGAGCGCTTGATTGTGCGCCTTGTCTAACTTTTGTTGTGTGGTTGTTAATACTGAACTCCCTTCAGTTGACCCGTGTTCAAGGTGTGATCGTAAACTTTGTTGATAAACTTTCCTAAGTATTTTCCCATTTGCACCCCACGTTGTCCCACTTTTATCTGAATGAAGTCTGATTGTTGTTTTGGGTAGAGGGTGGCGCTACACTTGTCAATGTTGATGCTGACACACCATTTATCAGCCCATGCAGCCATTGCATCTATGGATCTTTGTAGCAGTCGAGTGGCCACTGTTGCACATTTATTTGTGCACCATAGTACCAAGTCCTCCAGCTCTGGCCATCCTCACTGTCAGTGCTACCCAGATTGAACGACTCGAGAAGGTGCAAAATGAAGCCATGCGTATTATTTTGGGATGTACAAGAGACACATCCTGTGGAGCAATGAGGTATCTACTTGACTTTCCAACAATGAACCAAAGGATCAGGATGTGGAGGGCTCGGGCATACCTCAAAATATGTGCTGATAAGAAACACCCACTGCATCAAGCGCTTTTTAGTGAAAAGGGCGACAGACTGAAGAGGGGAAAATCGTGGCTAGGTCGGGCAGAAGATGTTATTAGGCAAATATGCAGCCTAACCGACATCATACCTGGTGCAGAATGGATACCTGTGCCTCAGGCGTTTATTTGTACATTTTCCTGTATTGTCACACTCAACAGGCGATGTAGAGAAGATAATCCTGTTGCTGTTAATGCAGAGGTCAACGCTCTCATCGGTGAAAATTCAGACGAAGCAGATGCACTAATCTATACAGACGGATCAGTTATACGCCAAAGAAGAAGCGCATGGGCATTTACAGCACGCTCAGCGGGCAGAACAGTCAAAGAAGCCAACGGCGCCTTCTCCATGACAACCAGCAGCATGACGATGGAGGTGATGGCAGTGACGCAAGCGTTTGCCTGGCTTGAAACACAAAAATACACCCGCATATGTATACTCAGTGATTCAATGAGTATGATCCGGAGGGTTCAGGCAGGTTCAGTGCGAAGACAATGGCTTGAATCAATTCAGAAGTCCACTGTGCGAGGAGTCACCTTTATTTTTGTTCCGGGACACGCAGGCGTCGATGGAAATGAAAGAGCTGACAGATTGGCTGGATCCGCTATCACTACCGACGGTCGGCCTATGGATCATGCTGATATTATCAATGCCCTCAGAGAAATGGGAAGGATAGAGGACTTTGGTGGCAGTGAATCCACATCACTCGCCAGAATGGCAGACTTGGGAATTAAGATCGGCACAGCAAAAAACGAGACGCACACCGGACACGTCAGAAGACTTGTTAATCAACATAGAACTGGTACTATTAGCCATCGGACGTTGGGATTCATACTGAGGGGAGGATCTGAGCACCTATGGACATGTCCGGAGTGCAATGATGATAACCCAACTAACTAACTAACTAACCTCCAGCATTTACTGCAGAATTATTACCATGGGGTAGTTCAGCATTTAGGTAATTGATATAGACCAGAAACATTGTTGGGGACAGGACACCACCTTGGGGAACACCATGGCGCAGTAAGACTTTCTTGCTCTTGAGTCTGTTTGTCTGTACACAGGCTCTTCTGTTATACAAGTAAGCTTTCACCCATCTGTACGTTTTCCCATTCACTTTGTAGTTTCTCAGTTTCTTCATGAGACCTTCTTTCCTGACCTTGTCAAAGGCTTTCTTCAAATCTATCCATGCTACAAGCACTAGTTTCTTTTCTTAGAAGGCATCTTCAATTTCTTGAGAGAGGTCAGTTGTCTGGTCTTCTGTAGAGTAGCACTGTCTAAAGCCTGCCTTCTGCAGCATGAAGATGTTTTCACTTCCCATGTACCATTGAAGTTTAAGGTCGACAATGCATTCCATTGTTTTAAAGAGACAGTTGGTAAGGCTAATTGGTCTATATCTGGAAGCATTGGAACGGGCTTTTTCTGGTTTTAGGAGAGGTATCATGGTTGCTTCTCTCCATATCTGTGGAACTTTGCCACTGGGCCAACAATTATTGAAAATCTACAGCAGTTTTGTTTTTGCTGTTTTCCCTAAGTTTTTGATCATTTCATTGGTTATGCCTTCGATTCCAGGTAACTTTCCCATTTTCAGCTTCGCTATTGCTGTCTCTCACTAGACATAATTGGTGCCTCCATTATTTTGGAAATTATATCGTTTTGTCTTGAGTGTTGTCCTTGCTCTAGAGCCTCTCCCTGTTTGAACTGACATCAATGTTGCTACTTTCTGCAAAATAAATCTGCAAAGTGATCAGCAGCCATTTTCTTGTTAGGATGGCTCGCCTGTACATATTTTAGTATTTGCAATTGTCCTAGATCACAATTCCAGAATGGTTTATTTTGCTTACGTGCACCTCTTGGTATTTTTTCCAGAGTTGCCTGCAATATGCATTTGCTCAACTCTTTTACTACTTTGTCTGCATTGTTATCTGTTTTTATATTTTTTAAGCAAAACACTTGTGAGGTGCCGAAACAATTTCCAGTCTGCTTTCTTGTAAATTTATCTTGGTAGAGTGTTACTCTTTCTTACAGTCGGAGTTTTTTTCTATCGTAAGAAAGACTAGTTGGTGATCACTGCATTCTAGTTGTTTCCAAACAGTTAGAGTAAATGCCATTCCATGTCTGGTGAATGAAAGGCTAGATCTGGCGTAGAGTTGGTATGCCTTGCTCTCGAGAAGAAGGTTGGTGGGTCGGTTGGCTTTTTAATGAGGATGAATCTGTTTTCATCCTGCCAGTCCTCCAGTTCAGTTTCTCTTCCCTTTGATCCATGTGATCGTAGCCCCAGCTTTCTGGGTGACTGTTGAAATCTCCACATACAATCATTCTTTTAATTGCTGCTATTGTATCCTGAGGGCGGTCAGTAATAGTTGCTTCACTGATTACTGATTTAAGAGTCGACATCATAGCACACCGGGCATACCCATAAATGCTCCGACTCCTGCAGCAAATGGCGTAAGGTGTAGATTCTAGCTGTTCCTGTAGCACACTGATTATACACATGCTGATCTCTTCCTTTCTTCCGTCCATCCTTGCCGGATCCACGCTTAATTCCTCGTTCACACTTACTTGCCCATGTTATTTCATCTAATCTTGTGTCTTCTGCCAAAATTCGTTCATATATGGTCTTCAGAATATCTCTCTTGTCTAGTACGAGTGTTCCCGTAGCTTTCGCTTTTGTAGCCAGAAAATTTGCTCATTCATTCCCTCACACTCCTGCATATCCCGGACAGTAAATCTACGTGATTCCCTGCAATGTTGGCGTACCGATTCACGGTATGCCCCATCTCACATTCTCCTGTGTTGTGACGCTCGATAGGAATTGTCAGCAGCAGAATCCAGCTGCTGTCAATGCCGAGGTATGTACGCTTATCAGTGACATGTCAGATAAGACAGATGTGGTGATCTTCACAGAGGGGTCCGTTATACGAGGACATAAGAGTGCATGGACATTTACAGCTCGCTCTTCAGGCAGAACAGTTAAGGAAGCCAGCGGTGCCTTCTCCATGACCACCAGCAGCATGACGATAGAGGTGATGGCGGTGAAACAGGCTTTCCTGTGGCTGGGATCACAGGACTATTCCCGCATGTGCGTGCTGAGTGATTCTTCAAGCATGATCCGACGGGTGGATGCAGGCTGGTTAAGCAGACAGTGGTTTGAGTTGTTGCAAAATTCTCCTGTGTGTGCAGTTACTTTCATATTCGTCCCAGGGTATGCAGGCGTTGTTGGCAATAAGAGAGCTTATAGACTGGCAGGTACTGCATTAATTGAAGATGGTCGCCCCATGGATCACGCAGTCAATGTCAGTGCCCTTAAAGAGATTGGACGTTCCAATGATTTTGGAAGTAACGTGTCCACATCACTACTAAGAATACGCGAATTGGGAATAAAGATCCGAAACGCCAAGCATGAGAAGCACACTGGACACACACAAAGTCTTGTTAACCAACATAGGATTGGAACTATTAACCGCACGACGCTGATGCATATGTTGAGAGGGGAATCTGAGCGCCTATGGGTGTGTCCGGAGTGCTGTGAAGATAATCTAACTCATGGTATCCACTCATGCCACATTAGTTCATTTTGAACCTTCCGCCGCGCCGACAGAGAATCAATAATTCCTCTGGTAACTTTATTTTCTGCTAACCACTTTAGAGCTGCAGAGATAAACTAAATAAGATGAGGACGTAGCAAGCATTGGGAATGCCCCGAGTGTTGTGATGTCAATTCGTTTTTATTTTATTACTTATAACCAGTAATAGTTTATTAATTTGAAATCTGTGTTTTCTGTCTTGAGCTTAAGAATCTGATACTTCGTCCCTTTCATGTGGTCCAAGATCATGCCCAGGGGTAGACAGAAAAGCCACATATCCCCCAGATTTAAGGTATCTATCATGGAATCAAGGCCGAAGGGTTGCGATATCCATAGTACCGAGCCAAAGGGTTTGAGGAGTGGGTCAGAGTACCAGAGGAAAAGCCTGACCTGTGTAGGGTCTTGATCACATTGGGCTGGGAGTGCCGAGTGTGGCCAACGGGTGCTACGGAGGTTTCAGTACAACAGTTGATTCACGACAATTCGTAGCGAAAGCTAATGAAAAATCTTTAGTGCAAGACAGCCTAGCATACGACATCAAAACATCAAGCATGAGAATGGAGGTGGAGGCGGCAACTGCAGCTCTCCTGTGGCTAGAGAACAACATGCATACACATGTTGTAAATGTAACAGACTCTGAAGGCATGCTGAGAAAGTGGAGACATGGATGCTTCGAGCAGAGTGGCAAGCTTCACTGGGAATGTCATAGGTAGTGAGCATACTTTGGATCTGTTCTCCAGGCTATACCGGCGTGGTGGGTGAGGGACAGGCAAACAGACTGGCTGGATCTGCACCACTGGGTGGTGAATTGATACATGACAAGGCAGATGACATGTGGTCAAGGCCCTTTGGGAATAAGCAACGTAATAAGTAGAGAAACAAAATTATCATGGCCTGGAGAGAATGGGGCATCTGGGTGTAACCAGAGGGTCTGGCCCGCTCACAACACTCAGAGGAAAGGCAAGATGGGCATATAACCAGAGTGCGACCGGAGCTATCGGTATTGGAACTATACGCTGGCTGCTGAAGATGAGGACGTAGCAAGCATTGGGAATGCCCCGAGTGCTGTGATGTCAATTCTTGACAAGGGTTTACAACTTTTAAATTTGGCGTGCAAATCCTTTTTGATTTACCTGGAGTTGTGCACAACAAAGTGCAACAGTTGATTCCACGCTGCTGCAGGTTTGAGTTCACACGACAGTCTAAGAGGAAAGTACCCGACCTCCGGCCGGCACACAAATGTTGTCTGATTGTATTTTGATCGTAGTCATCTCAGTCTGTACAGCCTTTCTCGGCGAAGGTAAAGTATCCGCGTATTTAGTTTATAATTATTTTGATCAAAGATAAGAACCTGTATTGTGATGTACTAACTAACGAACGACTTCTTTCGCTCGACTCTTCCGTTCCAGTCGCAGCCACCTACCTCCTAATCTCTACTCTATCTATCATTCTTCACAACCTGATTCAACTGATTGAAGGGATTGACGATGACAACATTGTAGATTGTCATTCATATTATTTACTTATAATTAAATAGTAAGTAAATTTCACACGTCGGCGAAGCGTCGTAAAAATTTATCAGGCTCTAGGTTGTTGATCTTCTGGCTCACTTGCAATGCAAGCAGCAATGTTACATCAAATCATCAATGTAAAGGTAAAGGTATTAATAATTAAAAATATGGCTCTCCTTTGAATCGTTCACCAAAATGGCGGCTTTAATATGATTGCGTTCGAAAGAGAGCTAAATTGGCCAATTTCTGGCCATGAAATATCAAAAATATCCAAATGAGGGTCAGTATTATTAAAAATATATGTGCCGGCTCCTGATAATGAAACAAATGCTCTGACAGGGTCTCGGCGATACATTGCTTGCCGACCTGCTTCTGCGAGTGTGCCTCACCACCGAGCGTATCCCCCGCGCCGCTACGCGCGGCACCGATGGGGGCTAAACTAGATGGCTGGGACTCATGAGCGGCAGCTACCGCATCTCCTGCAACTTCCTACAATTACTGTACTCGTGAGTCCCAGGCACCTAGTTTAGTCCCCATCTGCGCCGTGCGTAGCGGCGCGGGGGATACACTCGGCGATGAGTTTAATCGCGTTTGGCGCATGCCAACAAGTCTGACATCTACCGCTGCTAAATCCTCCAGTCGGAAGAACACAGTATTGCTAATTGGCTTTCATCGTCTGTAATGTCTCAAAATTGGTCAACAGTCGCTAGTATCGTCTGCAGAAACTCTCGAAATTGTTGTCATCGGTCGATATTTATCGTCTGTTACTAGTACCGTGTGCAAATGTTGATATTGATTGTCAAGTAATCCTAGTTTTGCCGCGATTTGTTCCTTGGTAGAAAGTCCGTATTTTAGATATACGCGAACACCGTCGTTTGGATATTTTTGGATATTTTATGACCAGAATGTGGCATGCCGCCATTTTGGGGAATGATTCAAAGGAGCGCAAAAAAAAATTATTAATTTAATAGTATAGTTATAGTATAGAGGATAGCTGATAGGCTTTCCATCTAGTTCTGTGGTTCTCAGCTTTCCTAATGCTGCAACCCTTTAATACAGTTCTTAATGCTGTGGTGACCCCCCAACCATAGAATTATTTTTGTTTCTACTTCACTACTTCAGTAAATATGTTTTTTCTGATCCGATAGTCTTAGGCGACCCCTGTGAAAGGGTCGTTCGACCTCCAAACGGGTCACAACCCACAGTTTGACTTAGTTCATCTACTAGTCTATCCTTCTGTGTAAATGATCTTTTTTTTTTTCAGATTTTTTTTTTGTGGTAACCTGCAGAGAATACTCCACTTAGAAACTGCTGAGTTCTTGCAGGTGGTCATTTTTATACCTAAGTATCAGGGGTCGAGAGGCGGGTGGCAAGGTCAGAGTACATGTTTATTAAAATGTCATTCAACTTGCGCTGACAGACCTGCTTAATGTTACTTCCCATATTCGCATCTCACTCTCTGAGCTTGATAAGTATCGAGAGTTGGAGCGCTGTAATAACATTCATTGCGCACCATGACAATGATATGTTTGGCACTTTTCTTGAAGTCCCACATTCACCCGATCTGCACCCCTACCATGATCATGACACTTAGCAATGCCGAAAGTTGACCCTCTTTCTCTGGTATACTCTGCAACTGCTACCCTATTTTTCAACTGAAATGCTATCATCATCAAGAGCCTTGCTGACTGGCAAGGGTGATCATGCCTCTCTACAGTTTGTGACCTGCAACTGCACATATCAGTTTTCATGTGTTGAAACTCCTCCATGCCATGGTTACATTCAACATGTTCCATTTTTCCCCTCTTCTCATAATGGTAACCTGACCAAAAAATTCTGTCTCTGATGTTTGTGATCAGTTGTCTTTGAGCACTTGTCTTTCTATTAATCAGACAGAGGCCCATTTTATCACTTTCTACCACCACAGTGTCTATCAGTTCCTGTAGTTCTTTATAACTTGTCGCTGTCAAGACGGTGTCATCAGCATAAATCAGGTTGTTTATGTTATGACAACTAGCCACAATTACTGGCATATCCATGACAAGTCTCCTTATAAATTCACTGTGTAATGAAAAACAAAATCCGGTGATAGCACACATCCTTGTCACTCTCCCCTCTTTATGCTGTAAAATATTCCCAAATGCTACATACAGATTATTAGAATACCATGGACCAAGAAGAAAAGAATAACAGATCTGAACATCAAGGAAGATTAACCAGTAAACAACATTTTGTCTCTGAAACTGAAATATTGTGGCCATAATTGGAAAGAGTAATAGCTGAAGGCGTGGTACCAGGAGAGAGGGGCAGGGGCCGACCAACAGAAAGATGGGCACAGGATGTAAATGACACCTTGGGTAGGAAAATGTATGAGGCAGGAGAGGTGGTAAGAGACTGAGTTTTTCTTTCAGGCAGACAATCATGAGAGTGACATTCTACAAATGACCCACTATTTGATGATGCTACCCTGTTGTAGAAATGAGATATGGCATCCTATTTTTGGTAATTGTGTTTTTTTTAAATGTTTGCCCGATTAGCTAACTACTTTGTTGTTTTACTCCACATCTGATTCTACCCATACATATGTGGTAGGTTGTCAGTGGGACGTGTGTTGTGTGTACCCATAAATATGTGGTAGGTTGTCAGTGGGACGTGTGTACCCATACATCTGTGGTAGGTTGTCAGTGGGACGTGTGTACCCATACATCTGTGGTAGGTTGTCAGTGGGATGTGTGTACCCATACATCTGTGGTAGGTTGTCAGTGGGACGTGTGTACCCATACATCTGTGGTAGGTTGTCAGTGGGACGTGTGTACCCATACATATGTGGTAGGTTGTCAGTGGGACGTGTGTACCCATACATATGTGGTAGGTTGTCAGTGGGACGTGTGTACCTATACATATGTGGTGGGTTGTCAGTGGGACGTGTGTACCCATACTGAGAACATGCAGTCTGATTGACTTTTAAAACGGAAGACATCTTTGTCGCTTGCAGGGCTGACATGGCTGATGGTGTACAGAACAGACAAGTACAAGAAGTTGAAGGCGGAGGTGGAAAAACAGAGCAAGAAATGTGAGTTTTGTTAGAATGTTATTGTAGATCTGTGACTGATGTCTTCTTTTCATTTGTCTAAGTAATGTAATTGCATTGTACCTGTTTACAGCAAAACTGCCATATTTGTGCCTTTTGACCATAAATCTGACTTCAGTGAGCATTTGTGTTCAAAGACAACTTATCAGAGAGAGACAGTCATCATTTGTTAGTCATTTTATGCAGATAGGGATGCTGGGACATTTTGTGACCACTGGAAAGAACTGTGGAAAGAGAGACATAGGTAGACAGCATAAGAAGATTCTTGACAGCCTCTAGCCATGGCGTGAAGTGCAGTCACCGCACGGACTGATACACACAGTTGCTTATCGCAGATTGTGGAGAGGCATGATCGCCCACATCAGTCGGCAAAGCACTTGATGATGATGTAGCAATAGCAGCTATGGATATTTCTGGACTAGAACCAAGCCACCTTGTTTTTTGTATCACAGCGTATCTACAGACTGGGCCACCTGTTGACCAACATTTTGCATCACAGCGTATCTACAGACTGGGTCACCTGTTGGCCAACATTTTGCATCACAGCGTATCTACAGACTGGGTTAGCTGTTGGCCAACATTTTGTATCACAGCGTATCTACAGACTGGGTCACCTGTTGGCCAACACTTTGCATCACAGCGTATCTACAGACTGGGTCACCTGTTGGCCAACACTTTGCATCACAGCGTATCTACAGACTGGGTCACCTGTAGGCCAACACTTTGCATCACAGCGTATCTACAGAATGGGTCACCTGTTGGCCAACATTTCGTAGTATAATGTAATATCACCCTATAATGTTACATATACTGTTATGTGAATGGAATTTATGTGATAATTTAACAAACAATGTGCCCGTAAAGGTCGTAGGTGCAGTTTGGGACTCATGGGTTTTGGAGATCATAGGGGGCTGTTGCTAGAGCTAAGATGCAGTAGATCTGTTTATTTGTAGACTGCGCCTGTTTTATAATGTTTTGTGTCTGCTTTCACTGACATTACTGCCATTATAACTGTTGCTACTGTTACTGCCTGTATTGATCAGTTTTTGTGATGTAGTCATGGGAATCTTTGATCCTGGTGATGTAGGACAGCATGGCTAGTGCTGTCACCACTGGCTGCAAGTTGGGATTTGAGTTTTTCCTGATAGAACAAAAATCCATGACCTTAGTGGGGTTTTGAACTCAGCTCTTCCACAAAGGGAGCCCTGTATTCTTACCCATTTGGCCAGCAGCTCCTCACTGTGTTTGCTGTACCTAACTGAAATATGTACCATTATATAATATACTTGAATTTATTGAAAGGTTTTAGTAGTTTTCTGAAGTGTTTTAAACATACAGGTACTGTTTGTGTGCAAGCCATTGTAATATAATTCAGCATGTACACTTGTTAGAGTACAAGAAGTGTGTACACTAATGATTTCATGTTTTCACAGTGGAGAAACAAAGAGAAACTGAGACAAATGACAGAGTTCAGAAGAAGAAACTGGGTAAGTCAAATGCCATTTTGAAACTGATATTAATCTTCATTGTATGTTAAATCATTGCGATAAACAGCACTTTGTGTATTCTTGTGTGTGCTCAGTCTCTGATACAACAGTTATCCCATGTGCCTGCACTATGTTCTTATCAGGTAATCAGGTAAGGTAATTGCAGTTCTATCATTACAGGAAATAGGTCACCCCATAGTTGCTCCGTTTCTATACTAGCAAAACCAACACAGAATGCCCATCACTGAAATTTGTGGACCAGCCTCGCATGCCAGTAAAAATTGTTTGATGGGCCAGTTTTGGCCTGTAGACCATAGTTTGCCCACCCCTGTGCGGAGGGACCTTACAAAATTGTTTTCCCTATTCGCTGTAGGGAAAAATGCTGTCAAAGTCTCAGATTATTGAGACTTCTAAATACACTTTCTGGTAGTACAAGCTAAGAGTACAGAAAAAAGTGAATGCAAAAACAAATAAGTTCAGCAATCGGGTGTCACCTGATGTCCTAGAGTGTGTGAAAAACAAACACTTTACACACCCGTGCCATTTTTTTGTCATGGGAATCGATTGATTTCTGTTATTCTATATTTTATGGTCTGTGTTGTTACTGTAAACTGATAAAAACATTCCAAAATTACATTTGTTATTCTGTATGTTGTTTTCTGTGATGTTACTGTTAGCTACAGTAAAAACATTTTAAACCAAGAAACAAATTATTATTTTTGGTCTCTTGACAGAGAGACAGGAGGAGAAGCTGAAGACCAATAGCAGGGACCTCTCATTGGTGAGTCTATGTTGATGTTATAATGTCAACCATGTGTTACTTCTTCTTCTTCTTCTTATAGTCTATGTTTTGGCATTGGTAGTCATGTCTATCCCTGTTTACTTTCCATCAGTTCTGACACAGATGATCTTCCATATCATGATGTCTGACTGCCCAGCATTGTCACATATCACTCCTGTCACGTGCCTGATTTAAGGATTTCTCTTTAAAAACCAACAGCACTCTGAAATAATTATGTTGAGTCGTTGGCTTGTATTGGTCTAAGGGATGTCCCGTGGCCAATATACACTCAACTTATTTCAGGAGTAGGGCAACTCAAGTTTTGGCACTACAAAATATATATTATTCCTAGGCACACTTGGCTGGACACCCCCACTACTATAAAAATGTAGCCCCCAGATTATAATAGTATACTATCATAGCCATGTTAACACAGATAACACTTATTACTCACACAAACATCAAAGCTAGACGGTTAGAATGGTGAAATAGGGACACCCAAGTCAGCCATGAACATTTGTGCATGTAATCAGTACAATATATACATATATAAATGAATAGATCATCAAGAATGTTTAGTCAATGGAGTTCAGGAATTAATGACACAACCCAGATATTGAAGCAGCCAGATACAGTTCTTTGAGAGTCCATGAGTTCATCATCGGACTGATAAGGTGCTGTGGGAAAAGAGCATGAAATGTGAATAAAAGATCACTTAGCACAGTTCGTAGGTCAATGCTCCCCTCAGTCCATGGTGATTCGACTGTAGTTAACTCAATCAGTAGTTGGGCCTTGATTTGATCTAGTACAAGCTGACTGTCACGAGTTAGGACACAGGAACTGCACAGGAGCCCACCAAAGCTCTTGGAGACTGTGATGCCCGCTGCCGGTCTCACAGGTGATGACACAATAAATGCAGAAGAGCCCAACAAAGCTCTTAAAGACTGGTTCTCTGGATTGATGACATAGATGTCTGCAATTGTCCACTGGTCCTGGAACTCACAAACAAGCTCTTGTCATGTTGAGGTAGTGGCACAGTATACAGGACTTTTGGATTTGCTTGGTGCACAGAATGGTATGGGTTGGTGGTGGTTGGCTGGACTGTGATTCGTCTGCTTGATCTCTAAGGAGGTATCATCCTGTCAGGAAAGAACTCAGAATTAGTAATCAGCCTTATTCATACACCAGCTCCTCTCACCTCTGCCACCTTTCTCCATTCCTCAGAGTGTAACTCTCAAGAACAGGAGACAATGTCTCCTTTCATTTATCTGTCTGTAAAATAGTGCAAACAGATAGAAAACAAGGTATATAGTGGAGATAGATAGACACTACCACACATAGATCATCCTCTCTCCACCCTCACATCTGCACTCGCAGACATACAATGTTTACAGTTAGTACCTATATATATTCCGTCTCCACAGGCCGTTCACTACACACGCACTGAATCTGTGTCAAATACACCTTTGACTCAGAGTGCCTAGCTCTGATGGCCCAGTATTTCGTCACTGTTAAAGATTACCTTGATTCCTTATTTCTGTTATGTGGCACAAAACTTCGTTTGACTGGTCAGAGAATTACTTGTAGGGTTTAATATCTTTAGAAATGGTGTGGGTTATGTAGAGCACCAACTAATTCGTCTGTACAGGGGAAGGTCTAATGTTCGAAGCTTGATCTCTGGACATCAAGAACGGTCGAACTCGGTGCGATCACACAGCTGACTCTGCCCTCTCTGCAGCAGTGGCCAACTTTAAAAAGACGTTAATTATGGTACTCGTAAACTATAATCAACTTACCCAAGCCTAGGAAATCTTCAAAGATAGAACTGGAACTTTGATTGCACCAATTTCTACATAGACTGTATACACGTCTTGACACTTTGGGATCAGGCGAAAGAATGTTTTTTCAAAATCAAACTAGCGTCTCTAGGAAAGAAGTCCCCTGTATTCCTGCCCAAGGAGTAAACCGGTTTACAGGAATTTCTAAATAAAATACCAGAAATCTTCAACCTAGAGTTGCAAGTTTGAAAATGAAGATTTATCAAAGCAACTAGAAGGTCTAGAAATTACTATTTTACCAGATAAAGGTATAGATCAATATAAGGGACTATATACCTTCCCGGACGGGTCTGAGTTTAAAATTTGACTGTGCGCGAGGGAAGTCAGAGTCACGACTCGTCCATTGTGTAGGGTGGCTGCTCACCTCACGACAAGCATCTTCGTTCGAACTCTCCCTCTGCCTCTTTTTCCCTACAGCTTACCCTCACCCCCCCCCCTATTTTTTTCAGATTTCCACCTTTTTGTTCCACTGAAAACCCCCTTGGCATTATTTTGCGAATGACGGAGAAGTTGAATGTGAAGTGAAAATGTGGTTTGGAAAACAGAGCACCCACGACTGTGCAGCTGGTTTGGGATAACTGATAAAATAATGGTACAAGTGCATCAATCTTGGTGAAAATTATGTTGGAAATTAAAGAGACAGTGTATGTATAAAAATAAACTGTTTTCAAGTTGTTATCTTTAGTTGTGTAAATTTTTTTTAAAAACACCTATTTGTGACATTGACTTTTCCTCATATATATATATATACACACACACACACAAAACAACAACAACGCATATATATATATATATATACATATAAAATATATATATATACATGACTGCAGTGACTTGTCCCTGAGATGCTGTGAGTCTGGTATTTTCTGCTGTGACTCATTCCTGTCAATGTCACAAACCCAGCATGTCTGCAGTCACTTGTCCCCCAGATGCCCATGTAATGGTGCTGGGTTCTTTTTGCATCTACACAGTGTTTAGGTGGTCTGGATATGAATATATTTATATATATGTGGAAGTTGACGTTACGTCTGGAATAGAGTACATTACTGTAGGAGAAATTAAGATGTACATTACCTGTGTAGAGTAACTAATAAATGAATGGTGTATTGCGTCTTACTGACAGCTCATGTGTGTACCAAGCTAGGGATGTGCATTAGTTTGATATCGGTTGTTGTGTCCCCAGGTGAAGATGAAGTCCATGTTTGCTATTGGGTTTGCATTTACTGCCCTCCTCAGCATGTTCAACTCTATGTAAGTCTGTGTTTTATTTCTTTGTTATTAGGAAATGTTTTTAGGCTGTATGTGTATCTAGTTCAGTTGGATTTCTTTATGAAAATATCTAAATTTGAAAAAAAAATATCTTTTTGCCTTTCGCCAGCTGTAAACTCCAGCAGAAAGTTCTGGTTCTTTGACCAACTATGGACTTTAGTCTTGCTTCAGAACCTGAGTGTTGCCTGCATGTCAATGACTTATTTGTGTGCAAGCTGTTGGTTCATTGTCTCTCAGGCAGATGCACTAGGACTTTGAAAGAAGCACCCAGTCAGTGGACTCTAATGACATGCTTGTTGGGAAGGCAGTCAAAAGCTGTATAATTGAATTAAGTTTTACTTGAGAGATCCCAAATTTGGCCAGTTGGCATTCCAATGGAAACCTTGCTGTATGGAACAATGAAAGATGTGCATTACACCACAGAGACTTCATAAAGAGCTGTAGCCTTCTCATCTGAAAACCAAGGGCAGGGAGAAGAGAAAAATATGTTTTGAAAACATCAGTGCAGCAGTTCTCCATTCAAATTTGTATTCTACTTGTACGTGGTGATGCTCATTTCTTTAACCAAATCTGGCAAACAAAATCCGTTTAAAGGAAAAGATCCTAACATTCACTGACTGGCTTGTGCTGCTGTGAATTTACCAGGGGGATGTATCATCTAGTACTAACCAGTCAGCACTGAAGACATTAGAAATAAACATTTTTGAAATCTGAACTCAGTAATTAACAGTAACAGGGACAGGTTGCTTTGGTGTGTAAGGGATCATTTTATTTGGACATAGGCATTTCCGTAAGGGATCCATCTCTCGTAGAACACAATCATGTGACCTGAATGCACATATAATAAGTTCAAACACATGGTATCCCAGATGATACCCTACAACCAGATGTGTTTTATGTATGTAGCTGTGTGGTTTAAAAAAAAATTATTGTTTTTGTTTTTTGAAATTAAAAAACCCCATTAATGTTCAGAGGATTGACTTTATTGCACCAGGTTTTACCTGATATGGCTCAGTCTCTCCCCGCAGAATGGCTAGCTTCCTGCCGAGAGCGTTACACAAAGCACAAACTCCGTAGCTCCAGTGATGACCTTCAGGAATCTCTGCAATTGTTGCACTCGTGAGCTGAACAGCGCAGCCATGAAATAAACCCATGACCTTCAGAGCGCGAGGCAGATTGACTTGAGCACTTCACCGAGGAGACACTCTTACATTTAGTGCCTACTGAGGGACATGAACCCTTGACCCTCAGATGTAAAGTCTGATACTCTAGTGACCGAGTTAACCGGACTATTTGCTTTTGTCATTGTTTACAAATACTTGGTGTTACCAACTGGAAAGAGAAAGCTATTAACATGTAACAGAGAGACATAATCACTTGTTTGTCAGGAGGTAGGATATTGCGTATTAGTTGAAGGGACCAAAGTCAACAGGTCTTAGTAATCTGGACATACCTTTTTAGAACCATTAAGTGCAGAGGGGTATTTGCAAATTAATAGTTATATAAATAGCATCTGATGTAATCGTTGACGTGTTATATCAAAGAGAGACAGCCTTAACGCACTTGTTTTATAGAAGTTCTGGAAGTCTCCCAGAATGCTAACTGTCAATTTAATTGGCATATTTTGGTGTAGACTATCTGATGCAATTAGAAAAATCCCATGTGAGAACGCACATAGTAAACAAGTTTTAGCATACAAGAATATTCTGGAAGCAGTCGTGAGTAGAAAACACATTCTGCGCATTCCAGTATAAATAGTGGGTATGAAACCACTTGGGTAACTTTCAGTCTACGAGACTTAAAAAAGGGGGAAACTAGTAACATTGAACCTCAAAGAGAACCTTCAGCCGTTGAGACTCGGAGGACAAGGACTAATCTCATGGACTCCCATGGACTAATCTCATGGAGCCTTCAGTTGTGGAGATGCCAGCTCAACACTCGAGAAAGAGGAGACATGAGACGGCACACAAGATACATGGATCCATGGTTAACAGAGACATAGATGTTGGAGTCGACAATTCAGCCGTTAGTACCAGACAGCACTAGAAGCCAGGTGGCAGTTACAGACATTAGAACCAGTTTACAAAGTAACTAGAGATAAAGAACACAATGCGACCTCAAGATATGTAGAAATAGAGAAAACACAGCGCCATTAAAAATATGCTCGATGATATCTGTGACATTGCTGAGGTATAACAATAACGACAGTAATTGAAAAGAAATGTTCTTTTAAGACATGTTATTTTTTAAGCATTAGAGACATAAGAAGCATGCAGCAAGCAAAACATCATCATCATCACCACTATCAACACGACCATCTTTCTCCTCGTCTATATTCTTCCAATTGACTCCTCCTGTAGCAAACTGAAGAGGAACCTGGGTGTGACATCAACATACACAACATAGAAGACAGCTGTACTACAGAGGATATGGTGGATATCTTAGGCAATAAATCACTGCCATGGGATTTAGAAAAAAAAGATACTTGCATTCTAGATACGTCCACTTTTAATGTCTGTCTGAGAATCCTGGACAGTTAGTCAACAAGCCAAACAATTTTGAGGGGAACCTTGGAGATGTGGTTTTACAGAAGAATGCTTAAAATACCTTCGACAGTCAAAAAGAGTAGCCCAGATGTTTTGAAAAAGGCGAGGGCTTGAAAACAACTTATCACGGACATCAGTCATTTGTTAACTACATTTTGAGAGCGACCACTGGAAAGATTTGTGGAAAGAGAGACAGGAATGAAAAGGTTCTTGGCAGCATTCTGTCGGTTTTAGCACGTGATTTGGCAACTACATTGGAGATCGCGGATTGTGGAAAGGCATGGTTGCTCATGCCAGTCGGAAAGGCATTATGATGGCGATGATTGTGATTGATAAAGATAAACGAAGATGTGTGATATCTGCACCCGTTAACAAAACAAAGGCTTAGGAAGGGGATTTCTGTCAGATTGAAATGTAAGAAACCCACTGTTTAATTCATGCGTCTCTTGTGTTTTCAGATTTGATGGCCGGGTGGTAGCCAATTTACCGTTCACCCCGATCTCATTCGTCCAAGGGATTTCTCACCGAAACTTGCCTGGTGAAGATTACACTCATTGTTCGTTCATTTTCCTCTACATTCTGTGCACCATGTCCATTAGACAGGTAAAATATGTGTGGTTTATGTGACTGTGTTCTGTTTACATGTAGTAGCATTATGCACTCATAGGTACATCTATTTTGCATGTTTGCATAACATGTTAGGCTGACTATTAGTTTTATTTAAGTGTGGAAAGACGAGGGTTTATTGTTTCCACACATCTGTTCACAGTCCTGTAGGTATTGGTTGGTTAGTTAGTTAATTAGTTAATTAGTTAGTTAGTTGGGTTATCATCATTGCACTCCGGACATGTCCATAGGTGCTCAGATCCTCCCCTCAGTATGAACCCCAACGTCCGATGGCTAATGGTACCAGTTCTTCTGTCTTGTCTGGTGTGCGTCTCATTTTTTGCTATGCCGATCTTAATTCCCAAGTCTGCCATTCTGGCGAGTGATGTGGATTGACTGCCCCCAAAGTCCTCTATCCCTCCCATTTCTCTGAGGGCATTAATAATATCAGCATGATCCATAGGCTGACCGTCGGTGGTGATAGCGGATCCAGCCAACCTGTCAGCTCTTTCATTCCCATCGACGCCTGCGTTTCCAGAACAAAAATAAAGGTGACTCCACGCACAGTTGACTTCTGTAATGATTCAAGCTATTGTCTTCGCACTGAACCTGCCCGAACCCTCCGGATCATACTCATTGAATCACTGAGTATACAAACGCGGGTGTATCTTTGTGTTTCGAGCCAGGCAAACGCTTGTGTTACTGCCATCACCTCCATCGTCATGCTGCTGGTTGTCATGGAGAAGGCGCCGTTGGCTTCTTTGACTGTTCTGCCCGCTGAGTGTGCTGTAAATGCCCATGCGCTTCTTTTTTGGCGTATAACGGATCCGTCTGTATAGATTAGTGCATCTGCTTCGTCTAAATTTTCACTGATGAGAGCGTTGACCTCTGCATTAACAGCAAGAGGATTCTCTTCTCTACATCGCCTGTTGAGTGTGACAATACAGGAAAATGTACAAATAAATGCATGATGCACAGGTATAAATAGTCGCCATCAGACATCGAGTACATCCTGAGGGAAGTCTAAACTCGCGTGCATGTACTCCATTGCACGGTTCAGATCCCATTCCGATGAAACTTTCACACTATAAGTGAGCGAAAATAGCAAATTTGCGCTATTCTCCTCAACGGACGAAAAAGTGTACCGCCATTGTGGCTGTTTACACCGGGAGTTTTTTTAGGTATTGATATTGCATACCATCTCCCTGTCTGGTTTCCAAAGTCTCATTTAGGGGGAAGGGAAGAATAGACCTCTTGCTCCCCACTCCCCCTTTCCTTTCCAAGCATGTCGTAAAATTTAACTAATTAGGAGTGTTTTCTTCAAAGTCAGAGTGCATTTGCCTGAGAGTTATAGAACCAACAGTCTGCATCATATAAATAACTTAGATCTGTAAAACAGATGTGCACCAAAAACGGACAGTGGACGGACAAGCAGAAATGTCCTCCACAGTTTAAGGTGAATGCGAAGAAGAAAGATACCAAGTTTTGTTTTGCAGGTAACAAAATGGTATAATAATAGACTGGTTGTGAGACGGATAGAATAAGTCTATTGGCCGTTTTCATTCCTGCTCATACATTTGGGATGTCGGAAACATCTTCTCCTTCTTTGTATTCACCGGCTGTAAACTTCGCTGGCAATGTCTGGTCATTTGTCCACTTCTGGGTTCTAGTCCTGTTCCAGAACCTGATTGTTGAGTGCACATTCATTTTACAGATCTCACTCATGTGTATGCAGACTGTTGATTCGTCGCCTCTCAGCCAGATGCACTCTGACTTTGAAGGAAGCTCCCAATTAGATGACTCTTATGATATTTTGTTGGGGAGGATGTAGATGTGTTCATGTTTTCCCCATAATGGGGCCTGAGAGCCCATGCGGGGAGATCCGGATATAAATACATTAACTAACAATGGGGGGAGGGTGTCTTTTGAACTAAATGGCTTTTTAAAAGCAATGTTGACGTCCAGAATTTCTTAAAAATCTCATAGAGGTTGTGGCGTCATGTTACCTAAAACATTGTTGTTGTTTTTAGGCCCTGGAAGATGAATTCCATTTAGTGCCTCAACCTTTTTATTGATTACTGCTTCCATATATCTTTGGATATGTTGAACAAAATTATAAAATATCATCATCAGGTGCCTTGCCGACTGGCGTGGGCGATCATGCCTCTCCATAATCTATAATCTCTTGCAGCATGTATCAGTTTGTGTGCTGACACACCTCCATGCCATGCAACAAGAATGTCAAGCATCTTCTCTCGTTGTCTACCTCTATCCCTCCTTTCACAGATCTTTCCAGTGGTCACAACATGTTCCATTTTCCCACTTCTCATAACATGGCCGAAAAATGATGACTGTCTCCTTCTGAAGTCTGTGATAAGTTGTCTTCGGGCTCCCGCCTCTTTCAAAACCTCTTGGTTGCTCTTTTTGGCTGTCCAAAGTATTCTCAGCATTCTTCTGTAAAACAACATCTCTGAGGCCTCTAGAAATTATAAAATATAGATGTTTTTAAAATGTATTAAGGACTGGTATAAAGATTTTATTTAAACCAAAAAAAAAAATTTCCCCCAGAACTTGATGAGGTTATGACCTGTTTTGATGTGTGTGTTGCCAGGTTGAAGGAGTGAATCGTTTACTGTTTTCAATTACAGAACATCCAGAAGCTACTAGGATTAGCTCCGTCAAGAGCAGCAAGCAAGCAAGGCACAGGTTTCTTCACGCCGCCATCACAGCTGGGCAGATAAGGCAACAGGCAGGACGTGGCAGATTTCATTCATCAACATAATATATAATCATGCTGTAGTGGTTTCTGTATGCAGCGAAGAGTTTTGTTCACTAGTTTTGTTAATTTATTATCGTGTTAATCAGTGTTAAATCAGCCTCAGCTGTCTGGAGTTTCCTCTCATTCCATACCTTGTATCTTGCAGGAACGTGTTCCACACACTGGCATCATCTTGTTTGGTTGTAAATCTTCTGCAGAATTGAATGTCGCCATTTTAAATATAATGCATTGATGGGTCATTTGACTGATCAACCCTTCCAAACCCAAAACATCCATCTAGTACCAATTCACTGACCCGGCGCTGCAGTGATTAGTTCTCCCGAGGAATCTAATTGACGGTCATGGTTCTGTTTGGGTCTGCATAATATTTAGGAAGCCCAGGATATGATTATACTGACTAAAAATAGAATTTGGTGCAGGTAATTAAGAAAAAAAAATGGGGTGAAGGGTGGGGAGGGGGGGGGGGGGGTCATGTATGAGTCAACGTATATATTTTTAGTCCAGAGAGAGTAAAATCCATTAAATTTTCCATTCCTTTCATATTTGTATCTAATAAATATTTGAAAAATTTAAACAATACATTTTAAACAGTGTGTGTTAAAGACATGTATATATTTTTTTTTTAATCTGTAAGGATTACAACTAAAATGTTCAGGGTACAAAAATTTTGTTTTTGGTGAGTTCCTGGAATCATAGGTCTTTTCTCCCAAAGTTTCTGTGCAAAGGGTTCAAGTGGCTTGCATTGATTGGCATGGGGCTGTTGTAAAGCTCTTCTGTCAATCTGGTATCAAACTATCAACTCTGGGTGGACTGTGGTGCAGAGAGATCCTTTCTTTCTCCAAGCTTAGAAATCAGTGGGATGTGATGGTACTGGAAAGTTGCTCTGCACAGAAACTTCTTCAGTTAAACAACTGTGATGACGAGCTTTGACAATGACAATACTATGAAGTATATGAAGGCATAGTGTTCAGTTATGAAGAATTCCAGAGAAATTTGACTAAAAAGCTTAACAAAATGGGGAAGCAGAAAAACGGGCACAAAACAACACAACATAACATTTCGGCCTTTTTCAAACATAAGTGAACTACACAAACTTAACAATGAGGGGATGAGACTATGTAGATCTCTAAGGGGTGACGTGAGCAACGTTTAAAAAAATGTGATGTGGAATAAATGAATTAAAACAAAACAAACAATTGCTAAAAAATATAGTCACAAAAAATAATAAACAGTAGTATTGTTAATATATAATATAATACTGGGAATAAAAGAAATACAAATGTTAATGATATGTAAATGATACTGACTGATAAGAAATAGAAAAAGTAATAATATGAAATAAAATAAAAGAGAAGAAAATTAAATAACCAAATTTCACTTAAACCAATCCCTCTCCATTTTAATAGCTCTGACCACAGAGGTAAAGATGATATATCTGTCACAGCATTACAATCTGGCTCTGGTGATCAGACTACGCGCCTCGCTTTGGAAAATCACCTCATCCACAGCCTAGGCGTTCTTAGTCCAAGTGGTATCAATATCCAACATACATTTATCTAAATAGTTCTACTCTTATGACATTTTAAATGTTGAAACGTTACGTTGCGTTGTTTTGTGCCCGTTTTTCTGCTTCCCCATTTTGTTGAGCATTTTAGTCAAATTTCTGTGGAATTCCTTGTATTAGCTTGACTGCAGTCACCCCCATATTTTCACCATGATCAGTTATGAGAGTGTAAATGGCTGGAGATGCCTTTACACTGGACATTTGTTTCATTAACTAATACTTCATGGTCAGGGACATAGTGTTGCCTTCTCTATGACTGCTTGCAGCTTGACTATGGAAGTGAAGGTAGTGATGCGCTTTTATTTATCTAGAATCACAGGAGCTTTTCCCATGTTTGTGTACTGGATGATTATGTGAGCATGATCTGGCGGGTTCTATATGCAGGCAGTGGACTGAGTCACTGCCAAGATTCCCCATGCATGGTTTCACCATAATCTTTGTCCCAGAGCTTGCGGGTATTGTTAGCAAGGAAAGAGGCGATAGGTTGGCTGGCTCTGCTGTTATTGCAGATGGCTAGCCTTTGGATCATGCAGACATTGCTGCTAAAAATATGAGAATCAAAATGAAAGACTACCACAGCAGGGTATGAGAGGTGCACCGGACATTAGAGAAATCATGTCAGTCAGCAGAGGGCTGGACTAATGTGTTTGTTTTAATATAGACTATATTACCAGGAGACATAACCCTCTATATTTCCATATATTGCACACAACAGCACTCCTCTCCTCCTTCACATTCACCGGCTGTAAACTCTGGTGGAAAGTTCTGGTTGCTCATCCTCTTGTGGACTTTAGTCTTGTTTCAGAAATTGAGTTTTGTGTGCACATCTAGTTTACCATTCTGGATTGTTTGTAAGCAGACTGTTGGTTCCTTATCTGTCAGTCAGATGCACTTGAGTTCAAAGGAAACATTCCTAATTAGTCAATTTTAATGACCATTTGTTAAGGGGCATTCGATTGTTAGAATTACCGCAAGCAGTTTTATGGATGCTGTTCCACATAGTACTTCTGGAATTGGTTGTATGGATGCAGTTCTATCTCTGATACTCCTGCAAGTGGTTGTATGAAAGCTGTTTCTCCTTTCATACTTCCTGCAAGCGATTGTGTGAAAGCTGTTCCACCTGATACTGGTGCAGGTGACTATGACAGCTGTTCCACCTGATACTGGTGTAGATGACTATGACAGCTGTTTCACCTGATACTGGTGCAGGTGACTATGACAGCTGTTTCACCTGATACTGGTGCAGGTGACTATGAAAGCTGTTTCACCTGATACTGGTGCAGATAACTAAAAGCTGTTTCACCTGATACTGGTGCAGATGACTAAAAGCTGTTTCACCTGATACTGGTGTAGATGACTATGACAGCTGTTTCACCTGATACTGGTGCAGATGACTGTGATAGCTGTTTCACCTGATACTGGTGTAGATGACAATGACCACTGTTTCACCTGATACTGGTGTAGATGACTATGACCACTGTTTCACCTGATACTGGTGCAGATGACTATGATAGCTGTTTCACCTCATACTACTTCTAGTGGTATGACAGCTTATCTCTCTGAAACCACTTCAGGCAGTTTGAGCATTTCTATAAATCTCTTTAAGTTGAAGAATTCAGTACTAGCTCACCTGGTTGAATTAAGTTTACCATAGATTTTCTTTGGTAGCAACATAGTTCTAATTGTTATGGCTGAATGAGTCCTATTTTCACAAGTGTGAGTGGGTTGCCTGTTAATGGTTAAGGATTAGCATGCGATGTTGAGAGGAGATTCACTGATGACGTGTGTGTATATGTGGACATGTGACCATGTATTGTTAATAATCACATAGTCTTGTATGTGTTCTCACACCAGACTGGTTGCACTTAATGTTTGTTGTTACGCATGATTGATAATTTGAGTCAGTAAATAAATTTGTCATTTTTTTTCTCATCCTGTGTTTGTTATTCCTTTTTTTATGATGCTACTCTTTACAATCTATTTCTGTCATCACAATCTTCATCGCCATCTTCCACTTGTGCTCTCAGGTTTCAGGGGCAGAAAACAGTTGCTTGTCTAGCACTAGCTGTTGTCAAGCTGTGTAATTGTACAATATCCTCAGTCCATTTGCTTCTTCGCCAATGTATTTCTTTGTTACATTCTTAAAGGATAAGAAATGTAGTGAGGGATACACACACATATATATATATATATATACATATATGTGTGTGTGTGTTTAGATAGGGTCCAGTCACGTTTTCTGGCCCATCTATACACTGGCTGACCTTTCATTTATATTTTCTCAGACTCTTCTATGTTGGAGGGGTGTCATGTTGTCTTGCCTCCAGTGACATCAGTGCTAATGTCATATGTTCCACACTACACGACGACACAGCTTTCAATCATCCCAGAACATCTCAAACTGGCCCTAATCCAAGAGACTCTTTTTGAAGAAAGTAGTACAACGTGACACCCCTCTGACCTATATCAGACTGAGAAAGTGTGTAGATGGGCCCGGAAACGTGAACAGATCCATAGATAGATGGATGGATAGACAGACAGACAGGCAGACAGATATACAAGAAGTAGAACCTTGTAACTAGCTCTTGAAGATTAAGACATAAACATAAGTCTGTGTAAACAAGTCTAAGCAAGCAGCGTCCGTGGCTTAGGCGTTGTGAGTCCGACTCGTAATTCTAAAGTACCGCAATCAAAACCCACTGCTGGCTGCGTGGATTTTTATTGTGGTATGGGGCGTCGCAGATAGACCCAGCCTAAAATGGGTACCAGGATGGCTGTCCTGGGGAAGTAAAGATGGCCGGCGTAATGCTGACCACATTACCCACCGAGTGCCGATGGTCTGAAAAAATATGGGTGCTCTTCCCATATACCCGATATGCACCTAAGGCGTGACAAGGGATCTTTACTTTACTTTTTAAACAAATCTGCAGTTAGACAGATGGATAAGTAGTCTACCTCCCAGACACACTAAAGCAGTCACAGAAAACTGCTCAACAGTTAGGGTTTAAATCAAAGATGATCAAGTTAAAAAACAACTTGAACTCAACAATCATCTATGGTAAGTGCTTTATTTATGCCACTTTCAAACTGTTTCCCCCTAACTACGCTTTTGTTTGAGACGATCTGATTTAAACTGCTTGTACTGGATTATAAGTCGCCATGGCAAGTTAATCTGCACACTGACAATATTTTAATTTAAACAGCTCAGATTAATTTTTTTTTTAACATTTCAGTACGGAGTGCAATTCACATAAAAGATAACAGTTTTATAAATATCGACGGCTTGTATACAGTAAATAGTTGTATAAAAATGTGTAAAACAGAGTAATCACAAATGGAAATATATACCACACACAGGTCAATATCTGTAGATGTTATCTAACAGTTGGTTTTTTTTTCTTGTCCGAAATTCATGTTTTCAAGTTTGAAAATGTGTTTAGTTTCCATAATGCAATAGCTCAAAATAAATAAGGCCTTTGTTGGCTGTGCAGTTTATTTAATGTTCCAGAGTACAAAGATGGCGGGTTCTGCTATATAGTGTTTGTTTCCTTCTCGGATTTCAAGGATATAAAATAGTGTCATTCTCAAAGCTTTAATCTTCACTTGATCATTATCATGATGTTTTCATACCAACTGTCACATTTCTTTTGCTAATAAAATAAACGTCTGAGGATATAATTACACTTATGAGTTTAATCTTTGAAGTTACTCTTTCAATATGCTACAACCGAGGGCAGTTCTAGACAATATTTGAAATCTTTTTTTCCTAAATGCTTTTGAATATAAAAATACTGGGGTATTCTCTAGTTTGTGAGTTATTTAGATTTTTTCGGTTTTTTGATTAAGCTGTAAATTCCGGTTGTTTTGGTATTTAGACTAAACTTTGACTTCAAATAGCTAATAATTTTGTGGGGGGTCAATGGCCGAGAGTTTTGCCTGAAGAAGCTGGGAACCGGAATGGACAAGGCCTGTAGTCATAACTTGCTCTCTCGCTTGGGACTTCTACTTTGGCTCTTCCACACGGGCGGGATGACGCAGACAGGGTTGCCACGGCGAGGGTGCCAGACCAACATCTGGGCAGAGTTGGCGCAGGGCGGAGTCAGGGCACAGCGGGGGATTGGGACATTGTAGTCGAGGATGACAGGCTGCCGGGGCACTGGGTTACTGATGAGGGTGGCTCGCTCTCCCAAAGGACGCCTGGGGTCTATGGCGATCTCTAGCTGCATGCACCAAGATATCGTCTGTGGAGGCAATGAGTTGTAACAAATAAAATGCATTTACACATTGGTTAGCCTTTATAGAATTACTCGACAACATTTTATTAACGGCACAGTCAAAATCGTGAGACGTGATAATGCTCAACCGGACAGTATGGTGCAGAGATCTGGCTAATGCCCAGGCAGAAACTCAAATTGATGCCCTTTTTGGTTGTAGACATACAGAAGAAAAATGTCGTATTTCATGGAAACAAAAACACACAGAAAGATTTGGAGAGGTTAGGAATAAAAAAAAATAAAAAAATAAAATTGAAATTTGAAAAAAGAAGAAACAGCATACAGTGATGTCGACTGTTATACATATTCGATGAACTAACATTAGTCAGAGAGAGAGAAAGAGAGAGAGATCAATTAGGACAAGAGATTATGTTAGCAATCACTTGC